GATGGCGATACGATGGCAAGTGTGCTCTTCCATCATAATGCATTCCTCATATAGCCATGCTACGCTACACTTGGGACAAACACTCGAACCCTGTGAACACACTGACCTCCGACGTGAAACCCTCGGTTTGTGCGCCTTCCCTGGGCATCGATTCTCCGCCCGAGTCGGGCATGTGGGCCCGGCGTTCCAGCGACCCTCCCGTATCGAGAAGCTGCTGGCGGTTCTATTCGATGACAACCATGGTGATCCAAGGGCGTCGAATTCCCTGGAACTGAAACGTCCGGCCCTGGGGTGCCTTACTGGAGCGTCCCCGTTCACTGCTGGAGGTAGGCGTGCGTTGTTCTCTTGTTCTCACACCTGTATGGATGAAATCAACGTCCCGATTCTTTGCTAAATCGTCTCTTTCGTCTTGCATTACTAGCTCGTCGAGATATGGTACTCTGTCCGTGTTAGTCCTCGGCAACGAGAAGTCTGGTCTGCAGAAACCTTGCAATGAAGGTGAAGAATTTAGATCATGGTTCTCACACCTTCGGCTTCTTTGTCCTTGGTCGAGGAGCCATGCCTGTAGATTCTCGTGTATTCCTCATTGCGCGTATGACGTCGGGGGAGCTCTACATCGGCTGTGCCGACGAGCGTCCACCTCTGTCTGGGCTTCCTCCCTCTTCGAAATCATCACCCGAATCAAGAATAGGCTTCTGAATTGCCTCAACCGTTACATTGTCAACTGTTGCGCTCGCTAACGAAGCTGCGCCTGAGGCGAGCTCGACACATCTATCGGGGATATGATCAAGATGATACGGTGGACCAGGCGAGGTGTGGAATCGAGCATATTCTTCGTTCTTTTCAATCGAATGAGAACTGCCCCCTTCCGACTGCAAGTCGCTCACGCCCTCGCTCTGTCCATGCAACACGAACTGCGCTGCGTGTTCTGCGCCAAGGTTCTCGGCGCCCGACATTCCTATGGGGACGTGATCCAACAACTTTTCCATCTCAAAATCTAGGTATATGGTCCCTTGGCGGGATATTTGGCTGTGCCATACCCTCCACCCGAGGCTTGTGCTCTGGACATTGTCGCCAAGTCAACCGAAGAGTCCCCTTCTGTCAAGTAAAGCACAGTCTCTGATGCTTGCTCTCTGGGAAGGTTGAGAGAATTTGGTCGCCTCATAGAGGCATCTACACTTTCGTTACGCTCGGAAGGGTAATGATCTTCTGTTCGTCCGAGCGTTCCTTCTTGTGCCCCCATGCTCTGCGAAGCTAGCGGCTGTGCCGTCGTTTCGGCTGATAACCAATCTTTTGCCTGGCTATTCATACTCCCTGCAATATGTTCCGATAGTATATCATGGTCAATGGGCTCCGCCGATGACATGGGGAAGAAAGGATACTGCTGTTAAACATACGATAGGGTAACACTGAAAGGACGAGGCCGGCCCGCCGGTCGACGCACGCGCGCGCGCCGCAGGCTCGCTCCTTGTCCGTTTCCCAAGAGCCAAAGTGGTATAGCAGCGGGAGAGAAGCAGTCAGTGCATCGGGCAGCGCACGCAAAGCAAAGCAGCAGTAAGGGCTAAAGGATGAAGGTGCGGAAGAAATGCATTGACTCCTCCGCGTCCTCCTCCTCCTCCTCTTCCTCCTCCCTGCCTCGCGGACGAAGATGAAGTCGAGTTCACGACCTGCCTCAGCTCAGACCGCTCGCTGAACTGCAGCGGGGCGCGAGCTCGACCTCCCCCCTACCGCGTGGACGAAAACGAGGTTGAGTTCACGATCGGAACTGGACCTTGCTGGCCGCGCCTCCGGCGACGCCGCTGGCGCGCTCCGCGCGCTGGGGGAATGTCTAAGCGCCGATCCAAAATATCCGCGCGGACCTCCGAAGGACTGTCCTTATGTCGTTTCCTCTTCTTCGGTGAAACGTAATGAACGGTGACCGACCGTCCCAGTGTTCCTATACGCCTACCGCGGCATGGCGGGTTCAGAAAACCGTGCCATCTTCTGGGAGGCCGACTCTTACTTCCGCCGGCTTCCGCCGCCTTTTCCGCCAGCGACGCTACCCCCCTTTTACCGTCAAACCGCACAGTGAGGATGCGCGGTGAGGATGCCAGGGCCTGGGAGGACCATGTGAACTTTTTTCGCACGAGGTTGGCCAGCGACAGCCGCTAAGGATGGGCCGAGAGGAGATTGCTCATTCTGACTATGCGGGTTCTTCCGCGAGCTTCCGCCGCCCTGCCGCCGCCCTCCGCTGAGGAAGAGATAGGACCCCCCTCGGCCCTCGAAGGGATGCCCTGCCTGGAGCGCCTCACATGATCTTACAAAGAAAGAGTGCTCAAAACAAAAAAAAGTCAGTGGTTCAAAGATGGGGTCCTGAGGGGAGGGGTCCCAAGGGCGATGTGCCTCGAACAGAATAAATCGACCCTTGTATCCATTCATATCCTTAGGTCCCCATCCCTCAGGACCCCATGTTTGAATCACCGACAACAGCATTGCACGCACGCCCTGGCTGCCGGCGCACTGGCGGGGGGAACTCAGGGGAGGAACACAGACAACCGCCACCGAGAGCCCATAGGTGAGGGGCCGACCCCTGGACGGTAGCACGCCCGAGCGTCGTCCTGTATTGGGTTGACGCTCGGGCGTGCCACCGCCGAGGGGTCAACCCCCCAGTGATAGGATCTCGGTAGTGTCGGTGAGACGTAAAATTCGGATTCGGGGTACTCGGGTTGGCCTGACAGGGCCTTCCTGAAAATGACGCGATCCGATTTGAAACTTGGCGCGAGCTCCCGCTGCAAACTTCCCACGAAAACTGGACCGTCAAAACCCAAGACGCGCTCGTCACAAAGCGCCGGCAACCCCGAACTCTGGCGCACTCGAGTCTTACGTTTCCCCGATCATGGTGGTCCGTGTTGCTCCCCTGAGGAACGGGCACTGGCGGCACTGGCGGGGGGAACGCAGTGGAGGAACACGGACCACCGCCACCGAGCCCTGGGCGGTGGCAAGCCCGAGCGTCGTCTGGCATTGGGGTGACGCTCGGGGGGGCCACCGCCTAAGGGCCAGCCCCCCCCCCCACGGATGGGATCTCGGCGGTGGTGGTCCGTGCCGTTCCCGCGAGGAGCGGGCACTCGGGGGCGCGCAAGCACGGATTAGCGATCCATGGATCTGGCGCGCGGGATCGCCAAATCTATCGATCGTGGGAGGTGCCCTCCCCACAATGCGGCCTGTGCCGCCTCGTTCGGCGGCGGAGATCCGCGCCTTCCAATTGAAGCGGGGCACGGCGCCAATCCACGCCCCCCTGATCCATGCTTGCGATCGCCCGGGGCACGGGCGGCGGCACGCGGGGTGCGGGCCCCGTCCCCCCCGTGGTCCGTCGCCTCCGCGTTCCGCGCCCCGCGACGCTGCTGGCCCTCGTTCTCTGGGCTCCCTCGCCCTCCCCTTCCGAGAGGCCACCCGCGAAATCCTCGTCGACTGTGGTTCATTCTCAAGGAATAAGAAACTCAGGTTCGTTATGTTTAGATGATACCCTCATTATGGTTTATTTTTCTGTGCATGGATCAAGCTGAGCCCCCCGCGGCTGAATCATTATCTTTCTGGAATCATCAACCGGATATTATTATTCCAACATTATGAACCAGGGCTTATATCAGTCCGATCATTACTCTCGAACACCCCCCAGGGTGAATCGTTATCATTCCAGAGTAATGAACCTGGTGTCAATCTGTCTGGGACATTATAAACCCAAATTTATTATCTTCTGGAGATCATGAACCGGGGTCAATATGCCGACATGAAAAACCTGGTGAGGAACCCGGGGGTTGGGGAGAAACGAATAATTGTTATCATTCCAGGATTACAAAAACCGGCTTCATGATCCCCGGGACATTACGAACCCGGGTCAATAGTCCGGGAGCAATATAAATCCAGGTTAATATATTTTTGGGGTCAATATCCCCGGAAAGATATAAACCAAGGTTTACAAAGTTCTGGGGAGAACATTATGAACCCCAGTCAATGTTCCCAGAACATGAAAACCCAGGTTCATAATGTTCCGGGAAGGACCTTATGAACCCTGGTCAAGACTCTCGGAACATTATAAACCCAGGTTAATATCTATTTGGGGTTCGTCCTGCCTCTCGAGGTTACGCCGGGGCGGCCCGATGGTGGCAAGGCTGGGCACGACCGTGCTGTCTTCGGGCAAGCCTCAGCAGCCATGCCGCCAGCAAGACGTGGAGCACCGCTCACGCATGCCCCCTGCTGGCTGGCAGGGCCGTCGCTGTCCTCTGCGAGCCTGGCCGAAACGCTGGCCCTGGATGTGGGCTGGCCGAAGCGACGGAGGCAAGACTTGCAGCATCATCCGCAGAGCTTGTAACGAGGCGGCTGCACGCGCCGAGCGCAGTGCTGCTCAAGTATGCTCGAGCCAATCCTGCCGTCCGCACGCATGTCTTCACAGTGGTTGCAAACTTGGGAGAAGCCTTCTCCCAAACCTTCGAAACGCTGTTGGAAACTTCCCGGATCGCATCGGCAACCGCGGCAATCCGATGCGCCGAGCTGGATCGAGCCGGCTCGAATCGTGTGCGGCGTTGGGCGACGGATCCCGAATCTGGGACACGGGGTTTAGTATGTAACCATGGTTTCTCTGAGCAGAGTGAAGAGTCAAGCATTTGAAGAATACCATTCGCTTCTCAGGCCTTGGGGCGCACGCTTGAACGGCCCAGCGCTCACGCGAAACATGCCCGCCTCAGACCCCGGAGGGCGCCCCGCCAAGAACCGGCGAGAGAATTCGGGCCCAAACCGTTTGGTAACGGACCGCGTGGTGACCTCAGAATTCTCAACGACGCCACCGCGCGGTCCGTCAACGCACGGTCTTGAAACCTTGGAGGCCCCGGTCGCCCGAGGCGTCCTCGGAGAACGACCCGAGCCCCAAAACCGTGCGGTGGCCCCGAATCACCACTGACTCACCACGCGTTGTGGTCAGCACAACGTTTGGGGGCCCCCGAGAGAAGAAGAGCCGAGCGCGGCACGCGTCCCGGGGATGTCTGAACTTGAGGGGGAGCTTCTGGCCCAGGTCCTGGCGTGCCGCTCTTCTGAGAGCAAGGGTCAGTTGGCACCGAATCAGGAGATCGGGCCGGATCGCAACGTGCGTCGGGTCGGGCTGCATCGGCACGGAGCCGAAATCGACTCGGCTCGGCCGCGACAAGATACGGATGCACAACAGCGCCATGCAAGCATCGGGCAGCATCGGATCACTAGGAAATCTAAACCAAAAACGACATCACCATAAACTTTCAAAATCCGCGCGGACCGTCAATGACGGTCCGCGCGCGCCGCCAGGGGGGTCAACGCAGACCCAAGAAATCCGCGCGGAGCGCCGGGAGTTTATGCTATTGCGCTTTTCTGTTTCTCTTCCTCTCTCTCTATCTCTCTCTCTCGTTCTCTTCTTCTCTTCGCAAATCATCAGCGAGCGGGATCGAGCCAGCCGGGCTCGATGGCGAGCCCGATCGATGGGATCGAAGCGGGCCCCGAAAGGAAGAGCCGTGCTCACTCGCCTGCCCCCTGTCCCCGCCCGCAACCGGCCTCGGCCTCTTGCGGCCGCGCAGGAGCCAGCGACGCCCCCTCTCGGCGGCGCCCCCGGGGGGGAAGTGAGAGGGGGCGGGCGTCCTCGGAAGACTTGGAAGTCCCCCGGCCTTCCGAGGAGTTTTCTGCGCCTACCCCGAAGACGCTTTTGCGTCGCGGCGCGGCAGGGACAATCCGCGAAGGAACCCGCAGGCCAGAGGAAGGGGAGGGGGAGGCGAGGGGGCGGCCGCAGAGGGGGGGAGTCGGGCGCCGGGGGCACTCTCGCGCAGCGGGGCTGGGGCCGAGGGGCAGCCCCTGGCAGCTGTCGCGGGGCGGCACCGCGATGCACCCGGGGGCGAGGCCAGCAGCCGCAGCCCGGCAAGTGGGGGAGGGGGAGCAGCGGGCGGCCGGAGCGCCAGGGGCGCCAGGGGCGCCCGGGGGGGGGAGGCAACGGCGTGGGGACTGGCGGCGCCATGGGGCGCAGTGCGCCGGCGCTGCAGCAGCTGCGAGAGCGGCCCCAAGGCGGAGAGCGGCAGGCGGGCCAGCTGCGAGGCGCGACTGGGCGGCCGGGCTGCAAGCCGCGGGGGCGCGGTGGAGAAGCGAACGCCATCCCGAAGCTGGTGCACGGCATCAATGTTCGGGACTTGGCGAAACCCAGTGCAAGTGACGCACGGGCGGGGCTCCCACGAGGGGGAGTGGAGGGACGGGCCGCCACGGGAGCTGTCCGAGGGGGCGCCGAGGAAGGCAACCACCCTTCCCCGAAGACACAGAAAGCCTCTCAGAAGGCTGGGGGCCTTCTGAGAAGCCCCGCCGCCTTCTGAGAAGGGCTTCTCCTTGTCAAGTTCCCCTCCTCGCTCGCCTCCGATCTTCCATTCCTGCGTCAGGGGCGGCTTTAGGCTTGAGCTGCAGCAGTGCTCCAGCCGCGATGATCGGGGGGACGAAAGGGTAGGATAGCAAAGGGTGGGGAAGAGAATCAGCTCACGTAGCTGGTTTTCCTGGCGCTTCCTGGCGCCGGGAGGCGCCCATGTATCGAGAAGTGGGCCCGGCGGCGGGGCGTAAACCAGCTGCATGCAGTAGATTCCCTTCCCTATCCTACCTCTTCGTCCGGCCCGAGATGAGGGGACGACTCTTGCCAGGAAGCGACTCATTCTATCAAACAGATCTTGGCTGCCTCATGGCATGACTGGGGCTTGGCAGAAAAATTGCATTGAACGCTTGCTCGATATGCACACGGCGATCGGGTGCCTGACATGGTGCTCCCTGCTTAGACGCGAAATCATGTTGCATTTTCAATGTGTTGCGTCCGCGCTTCCGTGAATGCTTCATCGCTTGTGGCATGGTTTGGCCATGCTACCCCAACTGCGCGCATGCTCCGGGTGGCGTCAGAAAACCTGCAGCTCGAGGAATTCTTCCTTTGCTTGAAGGAACTGGTCTGGGCCCCCCCACTCGAAGGACCAACTTTGTCCGTGCTGCGCAGGCGCATTACGCATGCGGGTGGAACTCGTTGTTTGTTTAGCTACCGAATCGTGTGTGTGTATATGCATACAGGTACATACAACTATCGCATAAATAATGGAGCCACGAGCGAGCCGTCGAGGCGCCACCTCCCCCTCCTCCTTTTTCTCCTCCTCCTGGTCATCCTCATCCGTCTCTTCGCACTCGCTCGGGACTGAGAAACATCCGGCACGAGAGGACACCAGACGCGCGCGAGATGCCTGGATTCGGCGGGGCGCGCAGTCGCATCCAAGGCCTGTCTGGGATTGGGCTCGGACTGGAATGCAAATGGGAAGCCAGCCGCGGCAGCGATGCTGCGAATGGAACCCTGTGCTCTCCGCCCTTCGGTCCCGGAGCGGCGGCGCCGCCGAGGACGACGATCACGACGACTACCAAATCATCCGACGTCGTGATTATGTCGGGGCATGGGGGGCTCTCCGTCGGATCCGCTGGGCGGAGCTTCCGCCGCGAATCGCTGTGTTGACGGTTCCAGGGGCGCGCACCGCCGCGCGCAAAACCATTCCAAAACTTTTTTTTGTTCACAGCGGTTCCAATACATAATACCCAACCAGAATGTAAAATCACGTGTGTTTGCAATACAGATTTCTCGATTTCTGTGTGTTCGCACTGCATGAAATCACATGGGCTCTAAACGTTTGTTTTCCAATTCTGTGAGATGCCGAGCTCACGTCGAATGCATTACAAATCCACTGTCTCCGAAGCATTCCGAAGCAGGGATCCCTCAACCAAATAGCTTTCAACGACGCCTATGCCAGATACAGTGCCGTTCTTCGCGCGCGCGCGCACTTCATCATCCTCATTCACGCTGTTGTTATCATCGTCGTCACGGGCTGGAAGTCGTCAGTCGTCATTGCCACCGCCATTATCAACTCGAACCCATCATCGTCATCGACATTGTCGTCGCCTTCGTCATCAATGCCACCACCGTCACCATCATCTTCATCATCGCCGTGACCATCATCACTCGCCCGCCCGAATCATGGATCTGAATGACCAGGGCCCGCGCGTCAAAGAGCCTGTTGAGGTTAGCAGGCGCATTCCGATGAGTAACTTTACTCACGCAATGCTGAAATTTACCATCCAAATGCGGGCGGGTGGGTGGGATGCTTGCTCAGATGATGGAATTGACCGTTACCGTTCCACCTGATATACTGCGCTCCCCCACAGGAATTTGACTCCACTCCCTATGCCGGAAACGGACGTATCCGTTCTCCTCCGCGTATTTTTTCCTTGAGGGTACTTTGCACGTCCATTCATGTCACACATTCAACCGCAACGTGCCAGCCCGACCTGGTGTTGACGCCCCCCCTTCATCATTGTCAACAAGCACTACGCGGCGAACTCAAGTTCAGCGAAGATGTGCTTCATCGAAAATCCAATTGTAACATAGTGCGCAAGCCAAATTTACACGGTCCGCCTCTCTCTCTCTCTCGTTCTCTCGCTGTCTCTCTCTATCTCTCTCTCTCTCTCTTTCATGTGTTTTTTGTTTGTGTGTTGCCCTCTCTCTCTGTCTCTCTCTGTTTTTTGTTGTCTTTGTCTCTCAACTGTCTCTCCATCTCGCCCCTCCTCCTCCTCCTCCGTATCTTCCTCTTCAGCCTGCGTCGGGGGGGTGGTGGCGATGGGGGGGGGCGGGGACTAGGAGGGGCAGGCGTGGGGGGGCAACCAGCAGAAGGCTGTGGCCTTGCTTCTTTTCCTCCCCCCTCCCGCTTCTATGGTTTCCCCCCCCCCTTCCTTCCACTGCCTCCTGGCCCCCTGTCCTCCTTCTTTCGCTCCTCTTCCTCCGGTTCCTCTCTCACGACCAGAAAAATTGGTTTCGCGGACCCCGCAACCGTAACCCGCCCGTGTTAAGATTCTGTGGGGGGAGGGGCTTCTGTTATCAACTCGCCGCGCGCGCGGGCACCACCCAACATTAATACATTCCCCACCTGGTTGCTGCAAACAGCTCGTCCAGACGCCGTCCGTTCGGCGGCGCCGATGTTGTCCCGTGAACTCCGAATCGCCCTTTTTCACCTCAAGAGGAAAGTCTTTCGCGAGGACATTATATATATATATATATATATATATATATATATATTTCTCTCTCTCTCTCTCTCTGTGGGCGCGGACAAAGGTCCACGGTTTCATGCAAACAAATTCAAGCAGGCGGGACGGCCGCCGCCCTCGCGGCTCGCCCGCGTTCGCGGGCCGCCGCAGCGTCCGCGAAGCCGTGGGCTCGGAGGACGCCCTCGAGCCCTGGGCGGATCCGCCGCGGCTCGGCTGCCTCCGCCCGCGGGGCCGCCGCTGCCAGGCGCCGCGGCGCCGTGGCGCTCGGCGGCGCAGCCATCAGGCTACCAGCGCCAGCCGCAGGCGGCGTGGGCGGGGCTGCAGCAGGCTGCCGCAGCGCTGGCTCGGGCGCCGCCTCGGTCGCCTGCACCTCCGAGCCGTGGCCCTGCCTGGCCTGGAGTGCCGCCGCCCAGCGCAGGCGCGTGCTTGCCGATGGCGAGGCCAGCGGCGCGATCGGCTCCGTCGACGCTGGCAGGATCCCACGTGCGAAGTCCGACCGCGCCTGGGCTCTGGATCCCTTCTTGCTTTTGGGCTGCCCCGCCGCCGCGCTGGCCCCGCGCGGCTTGCCCAGGCCGCGGTGCGCGTACCTGGGGAGGCGGCAGTACATCCAGCAAGCCGCGCAGACCAGGAAGGGCTCGGAAACGTCGCCCTCGACGCGCGACTCCATGAGGAGGTGGCCGTTGACCCTCCATCCCGCTGGACGGGTCGCATCTGCCGCCTCCGCAGGGGCTGGGCCGCTGCTCGTCGCCTCCGCCGCCGCCAGGCGCGGGCTGGGCGCGGGCGCCGAGGCCTCGCGGCGCCTCGGATGCTCCTGCGCCCTGCGCTGGGCTACACGGCGCAGCACATCCGCGGGCGACTCGGCCGAGGCGGGGCGGCGCCTCGCGGGCGAAGGCCGCGAGCTGGAGGCGCCAGCTGCCGCCACCGCTGCCAGGGCCGCCGCCGTGGCGAGGCGGGGGC